CACACACACACACACACACACACACACACACACACACACACACACACACATGCTCCTGCTTTCTGACATCCTCCCTCACCTCCACTCTCTCACACTTCAACATGTGCATTTAAACCTACAAGTTTAATTCTGTCCACAGTCTACGCCTCCCACTGTCTCTTCTGATATCACAGTTAGGAATGATCTTAGACAAATAAAAGACAGATAAAGTCTAGTCTTTAAGCATTTCCAGCTCACACATTTTATTTGCTCATGCTGTTCTGCTTCACCCCATGGTGGCARTTTTAAACTTTGATGCAAGAGTTAGGCATTGTTTCAGTTTTCTAACAGGGAAAGAAAACACTAGAAGCTCCATACTGTGCACGATCGTGGCTCCTGTTGAGTTGTGTTTATTCTCCTTAAAGGGAAACAAACTGATTCTTGTAACTGAAGTAACACTGCTACGCAGAAACTGCATCAGCTTGTCACGACAGCACGGTGATAGACTCCCAGTGTGTTTCCTCTCTGCCGATCAAAATCAGAACCAGTGGTTACATCAGCATTGTTAGCGTGCAGCTTTTTATTTATTGACTTATGAATGAAATGTTATGAAATAAATTTGAATCASTTGAAACTTTTTGATCATTGCTCTTCTGTTGTGCACCTTATTTCCTGCAGACCCTGAAGGATTGGTGTACAAATAGTTTGACAAAGTGAACTTACAGATTAAAGGCAAAAAAAGGCTTAAATATTTATCACTTCTAGGCTGGACTGTTGTAATTATAGAATAGAATAGAATAGAATAGAATAGAATAGAATAGTCTTCATCGTCATTGCACAAGCCTGTACACAACAAAACTAAACGTGCCTCAGATGACAGTGTATTATAGAAAGACATATAGAATAAAAGCAACCCATACAGTATGTGTACATATGAGGTAGGATTTGCCAAGATTGTAAAGAAAWCCTATGAGCACATGAATAAAAACTTTTACGCACAAGGGACATCAGTCCTGAAAAAATGATAAAGTAGTTCTTGCAGTCAGGGTGTTTGGCTGGTGTTCAGAGTCCGGCTGGCCCACGGGAAGAAACTATTTTTGAGTCTGTTGGTGCAGCTCCTAATGCTCCTGTACCTTCTGCTGGAGGGCAGCAGGCTGAGCAGGTGGTGACCAGGATGGAGGTGGTCTTTGAAGATCCTCTTTGCCCTGGAGAGGCAGCAGGTGTTGGCGATACTGTCGAGGGAGAGGAGAGGATAAGCGGTTATTTTCTCAGCAGTCCTGATCCCCCGCAGCCTCTTCTTGTCAGCAGTGGTGGAGCCAGTGTACCACACATGAGGGCATCAGCGAGCACACTCTATGGTGGAGTGATTGATGGTTACCAAAAGCTTYAAGCTCAGTTATAGTCACGCTTTTGAGTGTCGTGCAGGGGTCAGKTGATAGAGTGCGTGCCCTCGAGAGCGGCTGTATTTTATTTGACTCATACGTTGGCGTYGTATTCTCCAAAAGGACACGTGGCAGTAAACTTTATAACCTTATGTCAATTATTGGTGCGTTCCAGTAGTCCTGGGAAGTGGTAATTTCCCTCMTCCCATTGGTWGATATAAACTGGAYTGGTAATATTCCACTGGTACAGTGGAAGAAATGAAACTGCCCCCAGTTTTGATTTCAAGATGGTGGCTGCTCACAGCTTTAGAAAGTTAACTCCATAACTTTTACTATTAATTATCMTTCTTAATTTTTTGTGCATGTTTAATCACTCGCACAAGTAGTGTGCTTTCTGTGCAATACTGTACGTATTAAAATCAATGTTTATTTGCATGACGTATGTAGTAGAGCTCTGTTTTTGTCATTGTTTATATTGTAGCAGTGTTGTAGCTAGGTTAGCGGAAGCAATACAATAGCCTGTCGGCTAAATGGAAGGCAGTTTCATATGGTTTGTTGGGAAATGACATCACCATTTACCAGTTCCTGGAATACAATATAAATGGAACGCACTTTATAGACCTTGCTTTAGTCTCCAAGAGGTTCCGTCTGAGTACTCTGGAAGTGGGGTCGCTGCTGTGACATATACCGACCAGGTGAGGTTTGCTGAGATATACAGTATGTCCCCAAGACTTAGAAGTGTGGGACCCTCGCCACACTGTGGGCATTGAGGTAGAGTGGTACAGGGGCAGCCTTGTTCCTCCTGCAGTCTATGAACATATCCTTGGTTTTTATGGTGTTGGGTGACAGGTTGTTCCTGGCACACCACACTCCTAACTGCTGCACCCTTGCATGCAGAATCGTCTCCACCAGTTATAAGTCCTACCACAGTAGTGTTATCTGCATGTTTGATGATGGTGTTGGGGGTTCAGTCACAAGTGTAGATGTTGAATAAAAGTGGTCTAAGCACACAGCCCTGGGAGGAGCTGTGTGCACCGATTTTTACAGACTGAGAACAATTTGTAATTAATTCCTTGATCCAGGTGAAGGGACATCTAGGCAGTGGTGGATCTGGGATTTTTCTGAGTYAGGGGTCATCAAGGGGCCACAATCATAGAGGGGTCAAATATTTGTTCAGCATCCTTGCACATAAATCCCTGGTTTTGGTATAACCAGTCACAAATGTTCAAACACTTGTAATGTAATTTTTAAAAAGCTTGCATAGTAAATTCTCCTTACCAATTTCACATGAATTTTTACAGTATTTAGATAAAATACTTTCAAACACACAGCATGTGAGAGAATTCACTCATAATTTGTGAGTTGAAAGACTTTTTCTGCAGGATTGTTCAAATTTTAAGAAAAAAGACTTCTATCAGCTTGATTCATGCTGGACCTTTCTATTGGTCCCATTAGCGCCTCTAGTGTTTGGACATGGAACTGKACCATCTTTGCTCACAGACAGATGAGTGACCGGACAGGGGCACATCAGGGGGCCAATCAGATTTCAGCAGGGGCCAATAACTCTGTGGTACTGCCCCTAGAACCTCCCCTGTGTCTAGGGGCAGCCAGTTTGTCCACCAGTTTCTCGGAACAGATGGTATTATTATCAGGAATATCTACAATCATATCTTYAGATGAATTGTTCACATGAAGATAATTGTTCCGTGTTGGACAATAATAAACAGCTCACTAATCCAGCTGAGAAAACAATATATTAGCTTTGTTTTCAAACACAATAGTTATTTATAGTGAGCAAATGCCAAAGGATAAAACTRAACCATAGTCCCTTTTTAGTTAAATAAAAAAAGAAGAATTATGAACCTTTAAAAACAGAGAATTTCCCCTAACGCCAAGGTAATCAACTAAATATACCCGACCTGTAATTCAGGCACATTCTGTGATCCGTGTGAATATGTTTGCGCAATAAAGTAACTCTAGGACTTATAATTCCCACACTCATGCACAGACAGACCCCTTTGTATATTTTGCTCAGAGCTAAACTGTCTCATGTTCTGTGGATTTTCTCTGCAAGTGAGCTTTTCCTCTTTGATAGAAYACATCTCTTAGTTAAGATTCCTTGAGGCTTGTATGRCACGCCACTGATTTGTAAACAAGAGACGGTGTCCACCCCGGAGAGAAACCCATCAAAAACATGACTATATATGGACAGCGCTCAGAAAATGCACATCTGACAAGCCTTTTTAAATTTATATACCAGCGGCCTCGCAGCGTGATTTTTCTCCTTAGTGATCACCTTGACATTTGTAAGTAATTTCATTACTTGACATTTTTAAACAAACTCGCGATCCATGTTTTAGGTGCAATAGAGGGAGATAAAAGCGGCGAATAATTTAGCAGCACACATGTATCACCTGGCATTTCTGGTATTCATGAAACACAAATTTCTCCCGGACAGAAACGAAGCAGAACCTGGACTGATGCATGATAACGACTGCTCATCCTGACCTTTTGCTTTCTTACATGTTTAATTTTCATTTTCAGACAGTAACACAAAACAGCACAAGGTGGATCAGAGGACATTTCTGARCGTATATATGAAAGCAAGATAACTTGTTGAATATTGC